AAATATCAGCGCTACCACTGATGACTTGTCTTTGTAGGTACAGTATCTCCCAGAAGCGAGTACAGCCCTGAAATTTTTGTAAATATTTTATTCTATCATTTCATGTGACAACACTGAAGAAATTACACTTTGATACAATGTGATGTAGTGAGTGTACAGCTTGTATAACAGTGTAAATTTGCTGTCCCCACAGATGCTCAATCGTGTTTAGGTCTGGAGACATGCTTGGCCAGTCCATCACCTTTACCCTCAGCTTCTTTATCAAGGCAGTGGTCATCTTGGAGGTGTGTTTGGGGTCATTATGTTGGAATACTGCCCTGCGGCCCAGTCTCCAAAGGGAGGGGATCATGCTCTGCTTCAGTATGTCACAGTACATGTTGACATTCATGGTTCCCTCAATGAACTGTAGCTCCCCAGTGCCGGCAGCACTTATGCAGCCCCAGACCATGACACTCCCACCACGCTTGACTGTAGGCAAGACACACTTGTCTTTGTACTCCTCACCTGGTAGCCACCACACACACTTGACACCATCTGAACCAAATCAGTTTATCTTGGTGTCATCAGACCACAGGACATGGTTCCAGTAATCCATGTCCTTAGTCTGCTTGTCTTCAGCAAACTGTTTGCAGGCTTTCTTGTGTATCATCTTTAGAAGAGGTTTCCTTCTGGGACAACAGCCATGCAGACCAATTTGATGCAGTGTGTGATGTATGGTCTGAGCACTGACAGGCTGACTCCCCACTCCTTCAACCTTTGCAGCAATCATATGTCTATTTCCCAAAGACAACCTCTGGATATGACGCTGAGCACGTGAATTCAATTTCTTTGGTCGACCATAGCGAGGCCTGTTCTGAGTGCAACCTGTCCTGCTAAACTGCTGTATGTTTTGGCCACCATGCTGCAGCTCAGTTTCAGGGCCTTGGCAGACTTCTTATAGCCTAGGCCAGTGGTGGGCAACCTTTTTTTTTTCAACTGAGCCAAATCTCACCAAAACCACGATTGAAATTTATTTTGAGAGCCACATTTTTAAAACTGAAAATACATAGGATGGTACACTGTTTTTAGTTTCAATAAGTTTTTATATTAATTCATCCCTCATATAGTAGTAGTAAGTAGCAAGCCGTAAGCCAAGTCCCCCGTGTCAATTCACTTACCTTTGCTCCGCGTGTTCCTCTCGCCGTGTTCCCGCGCCGTTCCGGTCTTCAGGGCAGACTGTGAGAGGAGCCTAGCTCCTCTAACGTTCGTCACGCTGCCCCGCCTACACACATCCTGACAGCCAATCACTGGCTATCAGGATGTGAGTGGCAGGGAGACTGGCCAATCATTGCATTTGAGCGCGCTGCCCTGGCTGTTTTTTTTGGATCACGCTGCAGAGTCCCTGCCGCCCGAGAGGAGGGAGGGGAGCGGGCACTCGGCACACAAGAGCCGCATGTGGCTTGCGAGCCGCGGCTTGCAGACCACTGGCCTAGGCCATATTTATGTAGAGCAACAATTTTTTTTTTTTTTTTCAGATCCTCAGAGTTCTTTGCCATGAGGTGCCGTGCTGAACTTCCTGTGACCAGTATGAGAGAGTGAGAGCGATAATACCAAATTTAACACACCTGCTCCCCATTCACACCTGAGACCTCATAAACACTAACGAGTCACATGACACCGGGGAGGGAAAATGGCTAATTGGGCCCAATTTGGACATTTTCACTTAGAGGTGTACTCACTTTTGTTGCCAGCGGTTTAGACATTAATGGCTGTGTGTTGAGTTATTTTGAGGGGACAGCAAATTTACACTGTTATACAAGCTGTACACTCACTACATCACATTGTAACAAAGTGTCATTTCTTCAGTGTTGTCACATGAAAAGATAGAATAAAATATTTACAAAAATGTGAGGGGGGTACTCACTTCTGGGAGATACTGTACATGATTATTATACCTCACCATATATTTAAGACACTCACTAAATATTTGTTAGTGTAAGAACACTAGATACAATTACTTTTTAGTTAAAGTGTTTGTAAACCCTCACATATACCGTGAAGTGACTGGTCTGAGGCGATACAGAGATGACACAAATCCTCCTACATAAGTTGTATATCTATCTGAAGTCTTCTCTACATCCGTTCAAAGTCCAGATTTTATAAAGCTTGTCTCAGATTTCAGAAAACAGGATGGATAGCTGAAATCACAGCACAGAGCTCCGTGGAAGCTCTGAGAGCTGATTGGAAGGAGCAGACATACCTTCCTTCACAGAACTCACAGGTACAGAGCTGAGACTGTCAATCATGGGCTGTGTGCTGGAGGTCATTCCCAGCCCAAACCGTTGATACAAGACAGGATGGATCCATGCTTTCATGGAGTAAATAAGTGGTTATTTGAGTTACTGTTGCTTTTCTATAATCTCAAACCAGTCTGCCCATTCTCCTCTGACATCAATAAGGCATTTTTTTTCCCCACACAGCTGCCGCTCACTGGATGTTTTCTCTTTTTTGGACCATTCTCTGTAAACCCTAGAGATGGTTGTGTGTGAAAATCCCAGATGGTCAGCAGTTTTTGAAATGCTAAGACCAGCCCATCTGGCAACAACAACCATGCCACGTTCATTCACTTAAATCCCCTTTCTTCCCCATTCTGATGCTCAGTTTGAACTTCAAGTCATCTTCACCACTTCTTGAAGCCTAAACGCACTGAGTTGCTGCCATGGGATTGGCTAATTAGCAATTTGTGTTACCAAGCAATTGAACAGGTGTACCTAATAAAGTTGTCAAAAAGGACAAGTTCACCTTTCATAATTTGCAGGTAAAAAAAAAAAGTGCATTTATTATTTTTGTGCTAGGAGCCTGTAAAGCACTGGTCTTCTGCCTGCATACTGTCAGTGTATCTGCTTGCTCGTACATCCCATATGGGCAGGCAGATACTTGCTGGCAGGAAGACTCAATGAACTAGCACAGCGCTCAGAGCACCATTGTAGTTCATTGAGGACGACAAGCTGACAGCCAGTAAGACTGTTGGGACTTGTAGTCCATTCATCCACAGTACACTGTGAATGAATGATGCAGCTGTGTGGGTGGAGCCCTGCACAGCCAAGCTCTTATTGAAAACTGACAGAGGAACTTCTCCCCTTGCCTTTGTCGCAGGGGGGAGGGCTGCAGAATCAGGATCAGGTTACGTGTTCCACCCTAAAAAACGGGTAGAAAATGTAACATGTTCCCAAAGGTGAACTTATCCTTTAAGTTGTGCTGGGAAGAGAAGCATTTTCATAGTCCAGTGAGAAGGATGGAAGTAGTGAAGACATACATGGACCTGTCACGGATACATGCTGTGAGAAGGAAAAATACCTGACACAGGTTCCGACCCATTTCTCTAGCACCATGTGTTTTTACAATTGGAATTTCTACTGAACAGATTTCCCCTTGCTTGTTGTGTTGGCAATAGGCCAGAAATCTCCCCAATCAGCTGACACAGACTGCAATAAAGACCCAAGAAGGTTCCCTCATAATTGTTCCACATGATGTTATCTATTCTTTGCAATATGCCATTACTCATATTAGACCAGGATTGTTGGTTGGTTGACTGTCATGTAACAATGTCTTCATATTGTCGCTATAAATATTTTTTGTTCTTTAATACACACCCTTTTCCTACAGTATTTAAAACTAAAATAAATATATATATATATATATATATGTGTATATAATATATATATATATATATATATATATATATAAATATATATAAAAGCATTCCTCAAGTTATTAAAACTATAGTATAAGGGGGGAAACAAAACAAAAAACACATAACCCAAACCGCACTGCTTGAAGAGATTGTATAAAATGCGTTTTTCTTTATTTTTATGGAAAAGCGACAGTAAGATTTGTAAAAGATTTGTGATTTGTTTTATACATATTGCCCATATGAAACTCAAACTAGAAAAAAAAATTGCAGAGAACAAGAAATAAAACAGTTTTTCCTTAGCAGTGCAATTATTTCACATTGCAATGAACTGGTCAAGTATGCAACATAATTAAAAAAAAAGAAAAGAAAATAAATCTCCACTATTAGCAAGGCTTACAGTGCAAAAATGATTTAAGTTTATTCATTTGAAGGGGACATTGCAGTTTACTTGGAAATTCATCATCTGCTTGGACCCCCTATATACAGTGGCACAGAAAGTTACCATAGCCAATTTAGAATGAACAGACAATACCTCCAACCCTTTGCTGTTCACAGTGTTTATCATTCAGAAGCCCAACCAATCAGACACAGTGGTGCTCACTATATGTATGGCTGCACTGAGATACCAGATTTTACTAGCAGGTGACATCTACAGTCATAGATCCCAGTAAAGTTTTGAAGCTGCATAAGGGGGCTTGGACTCCTCCCTGCTACTACACAGATGGGCTCCAAGCAGAAAGAACATTTCCAGCTGAAACGGGAAACCTCTTTATCTGTTTGAATTAAAGTTTTGGACTCTTGCAGTTTTACCTTGACAATACTAAGCATACAAGAAAAAAAAAAAAAAATCTAAAAAATTGAGTTTACTTACAAAGTTAAATAAAGTCTATACAGAAAAAAAAAAAAAAAAAAAAAAAAAAAACAACAATTAAATAGTGAGCTAACAGACCAAAATCTGAACACAGATTTACAAAAAAGTAAACTTACATATATGCAGTATTGGTCAAGTTAATAAAAAAAAAATAGCCAGTCTAAGTACTTGTAATTTTTTTTTTACAAATGTTGCTGAAACATGCAGGGATTCAGGAGTCTTAGGAACAGCATCAAATGTCTTGATGTTGACAAACTTAATTTTATCTTCATCTTTGCGCTTTTGGAATTTTACTTTGGAGAAGTATTTAAAGGTCTAGAAATCAAAGCATATAGGGGTTTAATGGTCTCAACAGAAAGCTGTGCCCGGTTTCTCATAATCTTGGAAAAAAAAAACAAACAAAAAAACCTAAAATTTACAGTACACTGGATTATACGAAATTATAGTTTCACATGTTTACATTGCATATTTCTGAGTCCATTCTCTGGCTACTCTGCCGTACCTGAAAGAAAAAAAAAAATAAGTTTTCAGCTTCAGTTAAATATCACAATATTTAATAAAGCTTTCAGGAGACAAACACATACATTAACCACTTGCCTACCGGGCATTTTCATCCCCTTCCTGACCAGGCCAATTTTCAGCTTAGTGTGGCTGTTGATAGCTCAGAGAAACTACTTTTCTAGAAGTCAAGGATTATATTTGAATTCATTCCATTGGCCTACACCGATGTTCCTAGATTCTGTTATGTGGGTGGAGCAAAATAAGTAGTTTTCACGTACATGATCTAAGCTCAGTGCTGTAGTGTGCATAGGTATCAGTTCCAAGCAGCTTTGGACATTTTAGGTGATATTTTGTATGGAAAAGATCACCCATGGCAACCAGGAAATTAGTAAAAGGACAAAAAAAAAAAAAAAATTTGAAGGGATCAATAAAGCGACCTCACAATAAGGGGTAAAGAGTATAATTAAAATAGAACCAAGGAAACAGGATGCATGGCAATTATATGAGTGGTGTAAAACAAAATCATGTCATTAACCACTTCAGCACAAAGCCATTTCAAGCACTTTATGGTGTCATTTTAAAATCCATATGTTTTGATAGAAAATGTCTTAGAACCCCCAAACATTATATATTTTTTTTAAAGCAGACGTTCTAGAGAATAAATTGGTGGTTTTTGAAGTTTTATGTCACACGGTATTTGCGCAACGGTTTTTCAAACACAATTTTTTGGCAAAACACACTTTTTTGAATTTTATTGCAAAAAAACATTTTGTACAATATAAAAGATGATATCATGCTGAGTAAATAGATACCAAACATGTCACGCTTTAAAATTGCGCACACCCATGCAACAACTACGAACTGCATAAATTTTACTATTCATAGGTGACACTTTAAAGGCCCTTACAGGGTACCACTTTAGATTTACAGAGGAAGTCTAGTGCTTGAATTACTGCCAATGATCTGACGATTGTGGCGATACCTCACGTGTGGGGTGATCGCTGTTCTCGCATGTGGGGGACTGCCGCATGAATTTGCCTTTGTGTGCAAGCATGGGAGGTTGGGGCACTTTTTTTTTTTTTTGATTCGTTTTATTGCTGTCACAAGGAATGTAAACAAACAAGTGAAAGGTCTGAGGTCTGGGGGTTTGAGAGCCCAAATCCCTCCTCTGCACTTGAAGATGTGCCAAGTTCTGTTTTTGAATGATTTCAGATTTTTAAAATATGGCACCGAACGTTTCAGCGTTAACCGAAAGGGGTGTCAGGTCATTGCTTCCGATGCACAATAAAGGAGAGCCAATCAAAGTAGATTCCGGCTTTGTTCAGCTCTCCTGCCAGCCGGTGGACATGTCGGCTGTCACTTGTGTCTTCTGCTGGGACAGGAGATCCCAAGAGAGTATAGTGTGGGGACATCCCCTCCCGCTGCTTCTACAAGCAATCAAGCGGCTAGTACTCACTCATATTGCTTGTACAAGAGAGCAGACTGCCGGCTCTGAGAAAACAGGTACCAGGGTGATGCCTGCAGGTGCTGGCACCACTCCAGTACAACCACTGAACATCCAAGTGGTTAAAGGAACCCTCCTGAAAGATATGAGACTGCTACTGCTGACCCAATCCTGGAAACTCTGGTTGATGGTCTACATTTTCAGTCAGAACACTCAATCTGGGTGGAAATACACATTATCAGTTTGCCCATTAAAGGAAAATTGAGTGTCTGCGTGAGCAGCCGGACCGTGTACACTGGGTTTAATTTACCAAAGCTGGAGACTGAAAAATCATGCTCACTTCTGCATAGCAACCAATCAGCTTTTAACCTTGCCTTGTTCAATTAAGCATTGGCAATAAAACCTGTAAACGGATTGGTTTCTATGCAGAAGTGAACTTAATTTTGCACTCTCCAGCTTTAGTTAATAAACCCTTCATGTATAAAAGAGACCATGCGGGAGATTCGCTAAAGTCGGTGCACTCAAAACCTTGTGCACCTGTGCATGGTAGCCAATCAGCTTCTAACCTTAGCTTGTTCAATTATGCTTTAGCAATAAAACCTGGAAGCCGATTGGTTTCCATGCAGAAGTGCATGAGATTCTAAATGAACCAGCTTTAGTAAATAAACCTCAGTGTGTGTCACCGTGGTTAGGTCACCCTGACCCACAGATCCTTACCTTGTGCTTTCATTCCACTGTTTGCTGCCCCAGTCACTGAAATACCCTCTGCTTCTATGTATTGGGAGCAAGTAACCACCTCCCATGTGACAGTGCTTGGGTCTAGCAGCCAATCATTAGGTCCAAGCAATTTCATACAATACAGTGACATAACCACGCTCTATGGAGCACTGTATTGAATACAAAAGGAGGAAGAAGCAGTAAGAAAAACTAAAAAGCTGGCATTGCAAGTATTACTGAGTCAGGGTGGCCTACATGGATACTGTCACTGTGCCCTGAAAAAGGTGGCAGTATCTCTCCAAGTAAGAATATCAGAATGGCAGCCAGGCAAAATAGCTATTTTCAGAACAGGAGGTCAGGAAAGGAAGACTTCTTCCTTTTCTAAATACATGCTTTTAATGGCAAAGTGCAGTAACCATTAGAAAAGTTTTCAAAATCAGCCTTCATGGTATTACTAACCACCATTGTAGTCCACAGTAAAATGCCCACAAAACTGTATACACTCACCAACCACTTTATTAGGTACACTTTGCTAGTACCGATTTGGACCCGTTTTGCCTTCAAAACTGTCTTAATTCTTCATGGCATAGATGTTGGACCAAAATCTCTGAGGAATGTTTCCATATTGACATGATAGCATCATGCAGTTGCTGCGGGTTCTGTTGGCTGCTCCACCACATCCCAAAGATACTATATTGGATTGAGATCTGGTGATTGTGGAGGCCATTGGAGTACAGCAAACTCATTATGTTCAAGGAATCAGTCTGAGATGATCTGAGCTTTGTGACATGGTGCATTATCCTGCAGAACGTAGCCATCAGAAGATGGGGACACCGTAGTCATAAAGGGATGGACATGGTCAGCAGCAATACTCAGGTAGGCCATGGCGTTAAAACAATCCTCAATTGGTGCTAAAGGGCCCAAAAAGTGTGCCAAGAAATTATCCCCCACACCATTACACCACCAGCCTGAACTATTGCTACAAGGCAGGATGGATCCATGCTCATGATTTTATGCCAAATTCTGACCCTACCATCTGAAGGTCACAGCTGAAATCGAGACTCATCAGACTAGGCAACGTTTTTTTTCAATCTTCTATTGTCAAATTTTGGTGAGCTTGTGCGAATTGCAGCCTCCGTTTCCTGTTTTTAGCTGACAGGAGTGGCACCTGGTGTGGTCTTCTGCTGCTGTAGCCCATCTGCTTCAAGGTTTAACGTGTTGTGCATTCAGAGATGGTATTCTGCAGACCTTTGTATTAACAAGTGCCTTATTTGAGTTACTGTTGCGTTTCTATCATCTCGAGCCTGTCTGCCCATTCTCCTCTGACATCAACAAGGCATTTTTTGTCCACACAACTGCCGCTTATTGGATATTTTCTCTTTTTTGTACCATTCTCTGTACACCCTAGAGATGGTTGTGTGTGAAAATGCTGGAAGATTAGCAGTTTTCAAAATACTCAGACCAGCCCATCTGGCACCAACAACCATGCCACCTTCAAAGTCACTTAAATTCCCTTTTTTTCCCCCATTCTGATGCTCGGTTTGAACTGTAGCAAGTTGTCTTCACCATGTCTAGATGCCTAAATGTTTTGAGCTGCTGCCATGTGATTGTCTGATTAGCAAGTTGTGTTACCAAGCAATTGAACAGGTGTACCTAATAAAGAGGCCAGTGGATGTAATCCTGTCATTTCAATTCTGTAATCATTTGCTTGCCCTTAACCACTTGTCTACAGGGCACTTATACCCCCTTCCTGCCCAGGCCAATTTCCAGCTTTCAGCGCTGTTGCACTTTGAATGACAATTGCGCGGTCATGCAACACTGTACCCATATGAACTTTTTATCTTTTTTTGTGACAGATAGAGCTTTATTTTGGTGGTATTTAATCACCTCGGGGTTTTTTATTTTTTCTTAAACAAACCAAAAACCACTGAAAAAAACCCGTTTTCTTAGTTTTTGTTATAACATTTTGTAAATAAGTGATTTTTCTTCTGCACTGATGTGCACTAACGAGGCTGCAGATGGGCACTGATAGGCTGCACTGATGAGGAGGCACTGGTAGCTGGCACTGATAGGCAGCATGGATGAGCACTGATGGACACTGACAGGTGGCGCTGCTGGGGCTACACAGATCATCAGAGCACACTGATCATCAGTGCTCTGATCTGTGTACATGTCCCCTCCAAGGAATGCCGATTACCAGCTCTCCTCTCCTCACGAGCTGTCATCGTGACAGCTTGTGGGGAGAGAAATGCCGATAACCGGAATTTCCCTGTTTACATGTGATCAGCTGTGATTGGACACAGCTGATCACATGACCAAGCCAACATCTTCGGCTCTTTCCGTGGATCGGTGATCCGCTGTGTCCGAGGGACACAGCACACCGCCGATCGCTGCGCGCTCTAGGAGCCACGCATGTGCGGTTAGAATGGGAGGACGTCATACGACGTCCTCCCAGAACAAGAGAACCACCTTGCGTCCGTCATATTACTATATGGCGGGCGGGAGGTGGTTAAAGGCACCCTGTTCTATGTAGCCAGCCCCAAAGGTAAATAAGTGAATGCTATGACATCGGGACCTAGAAGAAATTTGATAGTACACATGAAAAACCCTGTAAAATAAAATTTTACAAAAAGCATATATTTATGCGAGTAGCCTACAAGTAGTGCGACAGGTTCTCTAAATTTTTAAGAGGAGATAAAAATAACATACTTATCCTTGTCTGACTTGTAGGTCTGTGCAATATCTGGGACTAAAGGATCATCTGGGTTTGGATCACAAAGTAAAGAGCATATGGACAGCAAAACTGCAAAAAAGAAAAAATATACTCAAATGATATCCAGTGCATGTTAGTGCATAAACCTTCAGTCCATATCTAACCAACACCTGGCACACAGAGGTCATTTAAAACCCTTTATCATCTAGGAAACAAATCAGGTCGATGAAGGCCTCATTCACACTATGTGCAGTTTTCTGCATCTGTCTCTGCAAGGGGACAAAGAAAATGTTTTTTTTTTTTATGTGCCCTGTTCGCACACAACACTGGTATTATGTATTTTTTTCTGCACAGAGATATGCAACACATATGCAATTTTCTGCGCAGAAAAAAACTCACATGACAACACTGTGGTGTGAAGAGGGCTTTTAGAACATAATTATTTTCCTTGTGTCCTTGCAGAGACCTTAATTAGAAAAATACACATCTCTGCACATGATGTGAACAAGCATAAAATATTTTACGAAAGTCAAATCTGTACATTTTTCCATCTGTATGCACATATGGTGCATACAAGGCTTCAAGCGAAATTGCACCCAAAAGGGGAAGTTCCGCACTTTAATGCTTTTTTTCCCCCCGCTCCCCATTAAGGAAGGATTGGCACCTTTGGGACACGGAGGAGGGGAGGGGGGAGTGAGTACCCGAATTTGACAGGTACACGCTCCAACTTCCGCTGCGATCGCCTAGGCGATCAGAAGCGGAAGTTGTCCTCCCTCCCTCCCTGTAGTCTTCTGGTACATGTGACAGGTCCCAGAAGACTACGGGGCCATTCACAAGCCGCAGCGATTCACGCGAATGCACAGTGGGTGCCCACACTAAAGATGCTGGTGCCAGGGAGAGAAGATGGCCAGTGAAACCAGCGTTGGTGAGGACACCGCTGGACTGAGGGACAGGTAAGTGGCTGTATTTTAAAAGTCAGCAGGTACAGTTTTTGTAGCTGCTGACACTTTTTTCTTTCAGCTGGAACTCCGCTTTAAAGTAACATTGGGAGAACTCCACAGCATAGATCTATTGGCTGGCAAGCTCTGTCTACATCATTATGAGCAATATATTTAGGGGACAATATTATGTTTTCTATTAAGGGTACAATTACTTTATGTGTGCTTGTATAAATGAAACATTTCCTCTTCTCTTATTGACTGTCAGTTTATCCTCTGATTAAAAGCATTTCATCTTCCAAGCATTCTATTTACTACAAAAATGCAACTTCTATGTAAGCAGCAAACTTTTGTATACACATAGACATATAACAGACAGCTTAATCATTAGCTGGCAACAGTCTGACCCCTAACATTCTATAACATTTAGTAATAGCTTAGAATAAGACTCAAATAACAAACGGTTATGGATCTCTGTCAGTGGATGCATGAGGGGTCTCCAGGTACAGATTGTAAAGCTCACATACACATGCTGCTTCTAGTAAAAACAAAAAAAAAAAAAAAAAAAAAAACACAACTTACCTTGGAGGGAGGAGCAATGAATGGTCTACTGCTACTCCACTTACAGAAAAGCCTAGTACACATGGGGAGTTTTTTTTTTTTTTTTTTTTTTTGTGCAACCCAGCGGGCTGAATGAAAAAAAAACCTGAGAGGTTGCTGTACTAACTAAGCAATGTTACTGTGGTGATCTCCCACTGAGCTATTGTGTTCTGACAGGGAGAACAACCTCCCCACCAGAACACATCAGGCAGCTGGCTGCAAGCGCCGACAGAATGCTGGTTTTGCACCCTGCCCGTTCGACAAAAGCTGCTCATTAGACTGGCTTCTGTTGGAAAGGCTGCTGTGCACACAGGCCAAATGTCAGCCAGTTTCTATTGAACCATCCAATACGACTGGATTTTGGATCATGTGTACTAGCTTTAATGCTGGCCATACATGAATCCCTCCATGGAGCTATTGTATTCTGATATTCCCTTATTATATTCTGACTTCCCTGCCATTGGAATACACTAACCAGTGTTTTGGACTCAGTCACTTACAGACCATTTACCGTGATCTACCAGTGAGCCAAATTAATATAGAATTACGTGCACGTGGAAGAAAGACACTGACACTGTTGCAGTTTGCCAACTTCCTAAAAATTCTGTTTTATTGAGGAACTAACAGTATCATTTATAGGGCCTATGATGCAGGCAAAGCATATACATTGGGTGAAAAGTCCACTGGGTTTCTGCGTGTTCTTCCAATCATTTTCCCCAAAAAGACTCATTCCCTTTTATGGGGGTTGTTTACATTAAAAGATACTTTTCTCCTAATGAATCACCTAGGGTGAGACTCCGGATGAAGGCGCCATCTTAATTATCATCATTGTTCTGTCAACCTAGATCTGATTGTTTACTTAAGAAAGTAAGGAATTTTAAAGAGCAAGAAAGCAGAAAGTAGCAAGACTATAAAATTGTCATTTTACTGATCATCTAATAAAACGTGGACTGTATCACAATCCACTACACCAGCACCACCGACAGCACTCCCGTAAGAGAACATTTTCCAATAGGCTGGTTGCAAACACATTGATTGAGAAGACTGACTCCATGGATTGAAATTCGGACTGTCTCTGCTGAGCTGGCCAAAATTTCAAACCATGTATGGCTGCCTTTACAGAAAACCCTTCAAGATCTACTAGCCATAAGCATCTAGTCACCTACACTAATAAAACTGTGTAATGATCTTCGAATGTCTCTGGGTACTCAAAGCAGATGAAATCTAGGCATGAAATCTAGTACAGCAGCTTAATTATTTCAGAAACACTAATTTATAGGAATACAATATTCTAATATTTAAAAGAAAAAAATTAAACACATGTATACACTCCAGATTAATGATAATTTACCTTTTGAAACAGTCAAAGCAGGAGACCACTGTGATCGCAGAATGTCAAGACAAATACTTCCATTGCTGTTTATGTTTGGATGGTATATTTTTTGTTGTAAATGCAACCTACAAAATAAATAATATAGTACAATAACCAACATTTCAACAGTGCAATAAAAACTTATCAAGTTCACACAAGCATAAAAGGGTCAGTCCGTTCATAACCAATGTTTCAAACTCTGGTTGATGATAGAATGTTACACAGCCGAATGCGTTTTTTTATACATGTCTGGGACTCTAACATCCCCAACTTGCCATTACAAGAGGGTTCACTACCCTGCTGCATTCTGGATAGAAATAATGGACAAGGCAGCAAAAAGACTGGTAAAACCCAAGCAAGGAGCACAAACAAAAAGCAGAGATCTACTATCATTAAGAGGTCTCCCCTGCTTTAGTTGCCAAGACATAAAGAAGCCAAAAGGTTGACTCAGCCCAGACTCCATCTGTATCTAAATGATCACTTTAAAGTGAAAAGCTGGCCTTTAATTTAAAACCATCAATAAAGTGTTAGACCAGCCATAAAGAATCTGATGTATGCAAGCAGTGGACCAGTTTTTGCATTACACACAGTAAGTGTATATAGAGATTTACTTGGAAAGGTTTTCCAATACACTCCCCACTGGTACAGGTACAAGAGCCCCCAAAAAGGTATATACGATAGATTCCTAAGATTTCTAGTGGCTCTGATCTTCCATGCAAGCTCATCTACTTTGGTGCCTTTCCCTTTCCTTGGAATGTCATCCTTGTATCCATTATTAAAATGAGACCAAATCTTAATCTTTGTTTGATTTATAGGGCTTTAACATGACAAAGACATTGGTGCATACAGAACTTCTTACCTTTGGCGGTTTGAAGGGATAATCTGTTGGAAACTGGATTGTGAGAAAGAAAACTCCTCCTTGATATGGACTATCAGGCTGCAGAAAGAAAATACTACTTTACGTATTGGAAATCGGGAAACAGATTTCATGTTATAGCTATAACAGCATGTCATCTTAATTTCATATGAACAAATACAATCTATTAAATTTTCAGAGGACCGTATTGGAAGTAAGGGGAATTTCAACAATAGAACAATAAATAAAATAGGGGCTCGAACCTTCATAAAAACTTTTATCCCAGTTTCTCCTACTTGTGATACACAGACTGTAGGCTCCTTGTAGTGTTCCCAGAAATCACAACATAACACAGTGTTAATACTAAAGCGAATATTGCATCTTTGTAGAATCACACCATGCATGCATTCATGTACTGCGGGATGTCATTCATAGTGAAATGGCACCCTGATGCACTAAGGAAAAGCACATTCCTGGCAGCATACCACCATGCACGGTAATGGCTTTCCGTGCGTATTGGTACAAAAAAAGGGTCAGAAGAGGCTTTGCCCGTGTTCGAGTGCTTTAGCAGCCCATTCAAAATTAATAGGCTGCCATCTTTGTTTATTTTATCATTTTTTATCTGCATAAAAAGACCTTATGCAGGCAGCTCCCCCCACAGCCCCCTAAATACATACCTGAGCCCAATCTCAATCCAGCCATGTACATGAGGCTCTCTTGCTCCTCATTGGCTCAGATACAACAGCATTGGCTACCACTGCTGTCAAGCGAAGCCAGTGAAAAGGGAGTGGGGGCGGAGCCACAATCCCTTCTCTGTATATCTTTTAGACACAGAGTAGCAGGGCTCTGGAGCGAGCATGCAAGAATTCCCCTTTAGCAAGTGGCTTGCTATGGGGGCACTCGGGTGGGGAGATATACATATACACACACACACACATACATATACACACACATACATATATACCCCCCCCCCCAAAGGATCTCTCTCACACATACACAACACACATGTACTATGTTGCCAAAAGTATTGTGATATCCTTCCAAATCATTGGATTCAGGTGTTCCGATCACCCCCATAACCGCAGATGTATAAAATCAAGCACCTAAGCATGCAGACTGCTTCTACAAACATTTGTGAAAGAATGGGTCGCTCTCAGGAGCTCATTGAATTCAAGCGTGGTACCGTGATAGGTTGCCACCTGTGCACTATGTCCATCCGTGAAATTTCCTTGCTACTAAATATTCCACGGTCAACTGTTAGTGATATTATAACAAAGTGGAAGCAACTGGGAACAGCAGCAGGCCATGTAAAATGACAGAGCGGGATCAGCGCATGCTGAAGTGCACAGTATGCAGAAGCCACCAATTGTCTGCAGAGTCAATAGCTAAAGACCTCCAAACTTTGTGTGGCCTTCAGATTAGCACAACAGTGTGTAGAGAGCTTCATGGAATGGGTTTCCATGGCCGAGCAGCTGCATCCAAGCCTTACATCACCAAGTGCATGCAAAGCGTCGATGCCGTGGTGTAAAGCACACCACCACTGGACTCTAGAGCAGTGAAGATGTGTTTCTCTGGAGTGATGAAATCACCTTCTCTGTCTGGCAATTTGATGGACGTGTCTGGGTTTGCTGTTTGTCAGGAGAACAGTACTTGCCTGACTGCATTATGCCAAGTGTAAAGTTTGGCGGGGGGGGGGGGATTAAGGTGTGGGGGCTGTTTTTCAGGGGTTGGGCTTGGCCCTTTAGTTCCAGTAGAGAGAACTCTACATCAGCATACCAAGACATTTTGGACAATTTCATGCTCCCAACTTTGTCGGAAACAGTTTGGGGATGGCCCCCTCCTGTGCGAACATGACTGCGCACCAGTGCACAAAGCAAGGTCCATAAACACATGGATGAGCAAGTTTGGAACTTGACTGGCCTGCACAGAGTCCTGACCTCAACCCGATAGAACACCTTTGGGATGAATTAGAGCAGAGACTGTGAGCCAGGCCTTCTCGTTCAACATCAGTGCCTGACCTCACAAATGCGCTTCTGGAAGAATGGCCAAACATTCCCATAGACACACTCCTAAACCTTGTGGATGGCCTTCACAGGAGAGTTAGCTACAAAGGGTGAACCAACTCAATATTGAATCCTACAGACTAAGACTGGGATGCCATTAAAGGTCATGTGTGTGTAAAAGCAGGCGTCCCAATACTTTTGGCAGTATAGTATATATTGGAATTTATGCAGCTTTTACTTTCTGACTGCCTATCACATTTGTTGAGGTGCTAAAATGCCAGGGGAGTACAAAAACCCCTCAAATGACCCTTTTTTGGAAAGTAGACACCCCAAGGAATTTACTGACAGGCATGTCGAGTCCATGGAAGATTTTTTTTTTTTTTTTTTTTTTAATGAAAATTTTTGGAAAATAATTTTTTTTTTTTTTTTATTACACACACAAAGTTGTCCCTTAAATGATATCTTGCTCACACATGCCGTAGGTATATGCAAAATAACATGTTGGTGATTAGATCTCTCCTCTGCCCTTAAAGCATCTCATCACATCAAGATTGGTGTAATCAGATGTTTTCCCAGTTTAAAAATTGCGGTTTACATCCAGTGAAACCAAAATGATGAAATGCTCATTGCTTACGGTTTCTTGGACCACAGAGTTCATTGGAGCCAATACGGCCTCTGATCAGCTCTATGGTCAGCCGATGGAACTCGCGGCTGCATTCTCGGGTTCTCCAGTGAGATGGTAGTGGGGGTGGGGAGATGTCCCTTCATGCTGCTTGTAAAAGTGATACAGCGGCTAGACTAGGATTGCTTTTACATGAGAGCTGACCACCAGCTGAAAAAAACAATACCAGGATGATGCCTGTAGCTGCATCATCCTGGTATAACCGCTCAAAGTCCAGCAACGTATGGGCATATATGTTACAGCAGAGAATATGGTCATATGAAGAATCGGGTCTGTGGACCAATATGACTGCAATTCATTAAAAAAAAAACCCAAAACATTAAAAAAAACAAAAAAAAAATCTTAAAAAAAAGTTTTCAATATTTAATTTATGAATTTTTCTTTTTTTTTTTTTTTCTTTTTTATTAAAACGATTTAAAAAAAAAAAAAAAGAAAGAAGAATCTTTTCAGAGTAGTTCAATGTTACCATAGTAAGAGTGTACTACTGTGTGGGGGGGGGGGGGGGCTCACCAGGAAGAGAAGCAAAGCAGTTTATATATTAATTCATAACAGCTTTACTAACATTGTGATCATGTGATTGCATAGCGCTCACATGATCACTGAGTACTGATTACCAGGATCCCCATTCTTCTGTGTCCGGCTCTGGATGATCAATGTACATTGCAGGGGTTTTAATCCTGACTAAAACAGAAAATCTGTTTGTTCTACACCACCATCTGTTTTTTTTCACCAACTGTGTACAGAATGCCTCCAGGTTGCCACATTGCGTTGAATTTTACGGAAAACCACAGCGCTGCAGATTAAAATGGAAAGGCTATTTTTAATAACATTCAATTGCAATATTGCTTGTGTCGCAATTATGTATGTTTTTTTTTTTTTCTTTGCCTTTTCCACATGAAAGTGGAGCTAGCCTTCAACCAAACAATATATGGATCTTTTGTTTTTGGGTTAACATTCACTCTAAATCCAGTAAGGAGATAGAAGAGGAGATCCAAGGGGAATGACAAATCTGAACACTCAGAGCAGGAGGAAGCACGTTCCCCAGTAAGAAGTAAACAAGGATGAAAAGAGTCATGTTTCTTGAATGTACAAAGGGTGAAGTCAATCCTTCAAAATATTCAAAAAACAAAAAGGGCAATGCCTACATGCTCTGCTAATCTCTTTTATAGCATATCAGCTATTAGATTCTATAATTAAGGCTAAAGGTGGTCATGCACAATGGGCTTTTTGTAGAACAACTGGAGGTAAGTGATAGAGAAGTTGTTCATGACATCGAAGATGGCACAGGCTGTCATCTTTTACATTTCTACAAGCTCCATTTCCACTTTCTTTTCTGAAGTTCCTACACACGAGACCTACATTAAAATTGTCATTTGTCGTCAAAACTAAAGAATTATATACATAAAACCCCATACTTACAGGTCCCATTATTGTGGCTTGCCAGTGAAACACTGCGGAAAGAAAACACAGATCATAAAGATGTTCTGAAACAACAGGTCAGGCACACACAAAATATAAAATTAGGCAAACTTACTATCATCTCCTACTGGTCCCGCTGAGCACTGGGCCGGAGGATCACGCTGCAAGTCTGTTAACTCCTTAAGAGACACAAAAAAAAAAAAAAAAAAAAAAAAAAAAAAACACATTTTAAAAAAAAGGGAGATATGCAATCCAAGCATTAAGGAAAACAAGCATTTGAAAAACAAGCTAGTAATAAAGACATTATGTGCATTCAGCAGTAGTTACTGAGAGCTTTCATTGTCAGACCATTTTTCTGCCCTTTTTTCTCCCAAATCTCCCTGCAAATGACAGAACATCTTCCCCGCAGCTCTAGGACCTTTCCACACTCTGTATACAAATCCTTGACGTCACCTACAGGGCCACTAGGGACAGGCACTGAGAGATGCTGCAAGGGACAAGACAGAGGTCTGACTTTCAGAATAAGTACAGAGTGTGTGTGAGTTGGGGTGCTACCCAACTGGGCAGATAATTTGCTGACCTTTTAAGTAGGTCAAGGATCCTGCTCTTTACAAGGTCAGCAGTCTTTTCTTCCCAGGTTATCAGTTTTTACTGCTTTGTGCCCTCCTGACCCTCACCCTCTATATCTTGTCCTGGTGTCCCTGAGATAGGACATGCAATAAAAACATGACAGAAGTTCTCATTTTAACCCTCTACTGAAAAAGAAAAACAAAACAAAAAACGATTTGGCTGGAGTTGGACTCCTTTACGTTAATTCTGCATGTTTGCAAGAAATCAATTCAGAACCTGTCTATTTAAAAGTTTTTTTGTTTCACATCTAAGAAATTCAGCTCTCTCTGTCGTCAATATAAGCCCAACACATTCTGCAAAATATTTCACAACTATAAGTGATGAAGTGGGAAAATGGCTATTAACAGCTTCACACTACATTCAACACACGAAATACAATTATATGCAGTGAAGCACTCTTACAGACTGCAATAAATCCCTGGCCAGCCACCTCTGAAATGATGTATCAATACCAAAAATAAGGCTTTAATCAGAGTTATAAATTTACATAGTTGGCAAGGTTGCATAAAGACACCAGTCCACCCATCCATGGTGCTATGGTAATGCCTAGGACACACTATGAGAAATTCAGAAGAGCGATCATCTGATTTTCAACAAAAGTGAGTATTATGATGCAACTGAGAATGGTATTAACATGTATGAAAATTCTCAGCCAACAAAGGCAAAAACATAGCTGCTTACTAGTAGCTTAGTAGAAGAGGAAGTGTTGGGTCGGTGTTTGCTTCTGATCATACACATTTTTTTTTCTATTTCATTATTTCTGTACGATTACTGTACACATTGAGCAAAAATCAGACGCTCTGTACACTTATGAGAAACTTTCTAACTTGCACCTTATTATTATTATTATACAGTATTTATAAAGCACCAATGGTTCGCTCAGCGCTGTACATTACATTCAGTTTTTTATCATCCGAACAGTGGGAATCGGACATCAAAAGCACTATATTAACGAACAGATAATCAACCTTTCGTTCCTCATACGGAAATTTTCGTACAATTTTTTTTTATGTGTACAGGCCATAACTGGTATCAAAGCCCCAGTATAAGGTGTATAATTGAAGTAGAACGCTAGATTGTAAGGTAATGACAGGGTGAGATAATGTGAAGTCCATCAAATTTAACAAATAGGAAAAAAAAAAAAAAGAAAAAAAGAGCATGGTCCAAAGTCTTGACCAGAGGGTTATATAGCCACCTATAGGAGTAGGACACTGGGCAGGAAAAAAAACAAACAAAAAACAAACAAAAAAAAAAAAAAAAACCTTGAAACAGCCTATGGACAGTCCTGGCTGATATAAACCCCCTTTCTGCATAGGCAATCCATACAGTTTAAAAACAAGCAGTGTCAGCAAATAAGTAAAAAAAAAATAAAATCAGAGGGGTGGGTGCTGTGTCCCAATGAACTCAGAGAAAGGGATTTTACGGTGAGCAACAAAAAAGATCCAATTTTCTCTCGTTCGTTGACAGACATAGCTTCTTCTATTCTCGAACATAGGGGAATCCCAAAGTAGTGTCAAACAGTGAGGGGTGGGAAAAGCTAAGGCCAAAACTAGGCCAACAGGAGCTCAACAGAAAAACAGGAGCCCAACCAGAAAACAACCTCCCAAAGAGAGAACAGAAACCTCAAACAGCTGCCTGCAATAGTTTGCGGCCAAAACATGCATCTGAAGATGCCAAGACATCCACCTTGTAAAATTTTATAAAAGGTGCGCACAAATGACCAGGTACCCACCTTGCAGATTTGAGACACAGACGCCTCATGACAGAAGGCCCAAGAGGCATCAAGAGCCGGAGTAGAATGTGTCCCGTTTTTGGGAAAGGGAGGAACCTGACAACGAATGGCGTAAGCTTGAACCACTGTCTGCCGAATCCATCTAGAAACGGTAGCAGTAACGCTGCCACATCTCTCCTTGCCCCATCCATGCTCACAAAAAAGGGAATCCGACCTTTGAAAGGATTCTGCAACAGATAAATACACCTGAATTGCTCGAACCACATCCAAGGAGTGCAGAACAAACTCCTTAGGATTCGACGAGCGAGAACATAGAAGGACAATAGGACAATGTCCTCGTTTAAATGAAAATCAGAGACCACCTTTGGGAGAAAGGAAGGACACGGATAAAGAACCACCTTATCTTTGTGCACCACCAAATAAGGAGATCTACAAGACAAGGCTTCCAACTCCAACACTCTGCTGGCAGAAGCGATCGCCACTAAAAAAGGTCACCTTTTGGGATAGAGTTAGCAAGGGAATCTCCCTGATATTCTCAAAAGAAGGCTTTTGGAGAACAGAGAGAACCATATTCAGATCCCCTGGTGGCAAATGGGAGGGCAAGGGAGGTGCCACATGCCTAACGCCTTGAATGAAAGTACGCATCATAGAGTGTGAGGCTAGAGGGCGTTGAAAGACAACGGCCACAGCAAAAACTTGGCCCTTGATGGTACTTAGTGCCAGCTTCTTCTCAACACCCTGTTGCACAAAAGACAAAATTCCAGCCACCGAAAAAAACAGCAGAGATGAACCCCCGCAGCTTCACACCAGGAAATATATGCCTTCCAGGTGCGATGGTAGATCTTCCAAGAAGTAGACTTCTGTGCCTTCAGTGTGGTAGGAATCACCGACAGATCCCTGTCTCTCAGAACCTGGCTTTCAATAGCCAAGCCGATAAAGCCAGTGGCCGTAAAGCAGGGTGGAAGATCGGACTTTGAGACAGAAGGTCTGCCCTGAGCGAGATGCCAAGGAACGTCCGCGACCAGCCGCATCATGTCTGCATACCAAGGGCGGCGAGGCCAATCTGGAACCACCTTCAGCCTCTATCCTTTGCAGCAGCTGGGGTAGAAGCTTGAGAGGAGGAAATGCATAAAGGAGCCGATATATACTCCATGATGCTACCAGGGCATCCATTGCATCCGCAAGTAGATCCCTCGTCCTGACCATGAATCTTGGCACCTTCCTGTTGAACCAAAATGCCAGTAGATCCACGTCTGGGAGTGCCCCCCCAGAGACAAATCTAATAAAACAAGTCTGGCTGCAGGGACCACACTTGGTCCAACATTTGACGGCTGAAATAGTCCGCCTACCAATTTTCCACACCAGGGATGTGCACGGCAGAGAGAGCCAATACATGACGCTCTGCCCACCTGAGAAAGCAGGAGGCCTACAGCGACACTGCCACTGCCACATCCATCCCCCCCCCCCCCCCCCGGTGGATGACATAGGCCACTGCCGTGACATTGTCCAACTTTATCCAGACTGGGAGCCCCCAAAGATGTTCCATCCACTGTTCCAGGCAGGGCCTGATCACCTGAAGCTCCAATACATTGATTGGTAATCAAGACTCCTCTGGTGCCCATCGACCCTGAGCCGAGCTTGCCCCCAGCTGCATAGACTGGCGTGCGTCGTGACCACCATCCAATGTAAGGGAATAAATTTCCTCTCCTGAAGGATAGTAGGCCAAAGCCACCAAAGCAGAGACGTCCTGGTCTTTTGACCCAGGCAAACCTGGGTGTCCAAGGAGTCAGGGGACTTGTCCTACTTGACAGGATTTCTCCGCATGGAAAAAAAAAAAACACAGGAAAAACAGCGAAAAGGATCACTACTCCTGAACAACTAGCTTGCAGAGAAAAAAAACTGGATGGTTTATGTCAGCCAGGACAGAGTTTCCTTGTTCTGCCTAGTGTCCTACTCTCTGTGGGTAGCGATGTAACCCTATCGGTCGAGAATGGGGAAGATGCTGAGTGTCCATCAAAGAACAAAGGGAGAGAAAAAAAAAACAAATTCTTAAAGGAATCAGATATTTCCCTGATCAACAACCTCTGGTGCTATTACATCATATATCAACAGCCAGGTATATTCTATAAAACATCTAGCACAAAAAACACATCCCTGCCTTTTTAATTAATTCAGTTGGCTAGAACTATTTTCTGGAGGTAACATGAACGGTTAGCTAACATAACTATTCTTCCAGAAGCCAAGAATGCCCCTTCTTTGAAAAAGTGAATAACTTTGCACCTAGATTCTTGTACAAGTCATTTATGTATTTTTTTTTTATACATGGTGTTCATAACTGAATGTATACAAATTATTAAAATTCTTAATTAAAAAGGAAATGTATTAGAAAAATAAATTAAGCAAACTGTGAATTTACAGTCAGCAAATGTGACTTTTCACTTAAACAAGAAACAGAGCTGCAGAGCACACGGCCTATTGGAACTATATGGCAGGAAAAGCATGTTACAGACACAAAGGAGGAAGTTACAGGACTGCAAAATAAGGGACTTCCAGACAGAGGTGTGTAAGGAAGGAGTACAATATGTACAAAAGGTCTACTACTCCTGGAAAGTTCTGTATAACAATATTACTTTCCTCAATAACTTACGTAAATGAGGGTTAAGAGGAGGGTGGTAAACATTTACATGATCAAGTACTATCGCTCTCTGATAAGCCAGTGGACCAAAATGTGATAGGCACCACTTTAAACAGCCTTTACCAGCCAACGTTTCTTGCCAGTAAGCTGATATTTTCTGACTCTAGACCAGTGATGGCGAACCT